AATTTGAAGCATTTTGGTTTTGGTCTTCATCTCCATTGGAGCTCAAACTTTGAGGTAGGGATATCCTACTCCTCTTTATGAGCTTTGTCTTTAAATTTTAGTATTTTGAGATGTTGGGGTTGGTTTGGTAATTTGGTGAAAGTTTGGGGCTTTTGTGCAATTTTGCAAAAGTTGGGGTTTTATTTATAATAAACCTAGATGTATGTTTGGCATAGAGAAATGGAAATTTATGTTGAATCATTGATGAAAATGGGACCTAAGGGTTGAAGTGTTAATTATGGAAAATGACCTAATTACATTGTTTGATTAATTGGGATAATTAATTGTGAGAAATGAGGAAATGAAGTGGAATTGTTGAGATTGGGAATGTGTGGGGTTAAAGGGTGTAGTTGAATTATTTATCACTCACCGAAATGAAATGTTGATTAAATATCCATTGTTGCATTTATTTTCTGTATAGAAATAACTGCTTTGGGCTATCGGTGGAGGATAGTCGTGATTGTTGTAGACAATGCATGATGATTAGGCAAACTGTAACTAATCACTGGAATGTGTCATTGAGTATGACGATTGAAAGAAATACATTGAATTTGTGTGTTGTGTGATGATGTGTATAATTGTTGTTTATATGCATTGTGTTGTGTTGGAGGAGATAGGGGATGTACTCCGCGGTTTAGGGGAAGATAGGGGATGGACCTCTAAATCGGATGTTGTTGGGAGGAGATAGGGTATGGACTCCGTAGATAGAGCTCATATGCTTATCTATTATTGTGTTGACAGAGCTCATATGCTTGTCATTGGAAGTGTGATAGTGCTCATATGCATATCTGTGGAAGTGATGATATAGCTTGTATGCTTATCTGTTGTTGTGTGATATAGCTAGTATGCTTATCTAATATGAAATGGGAAGTGTTTGATATGAGTTAATGTCTCATATGAGTTGTTTGGCCAGGTTCTGAGCCATGGTTGTGATTTGAGAATTGAAAGGAATTGGAAAATGAATTGTAATATGGACTAGTATGTCATGAAAATGTAAAGTGTGATAAAGGAAAGTATCAGTGTTGACCATCTATCAACTGCTAATCTTTTAGTCATTGTTCATGTTTGGTTTAGTATGTTTCTACTGGGTTGTGGCTCACCCTATATGGGAATATCATCTTCAGGTACAGGTAGCATGCCACCTCCAATGACGTAGCTTGGGAGGCTAGAGGCAGGCGGACTTTTGTTGTTTTATTTCTTGATGTATTACATGTATATTCATGCCAAGGGCTTAATGTGTAAATGAGTTAGCACTCTTTTGTTGTTACCAAGTGTTAACTTGGAAAGCTGTAAGCCCGTAGGGCATTTGCTTTTGTTGATTAACATGTAATAATTTTTTTAAGAACTACTCTGATGAATAGAAGAATGTTTATCTTTATTACCAATGCATGTCTATATTGATGGGTGTAATGTGTTATTTTGAGGGCGTTACATTAATCACACTTGATTTGATTAAGTGTGATAATATTTATTTTTTATCACACTTTTCAATTAAGTGTGATTATAGATATACATTTTTTAATCACACTTTTTAATTAACACGTGATATATTTATTTTGTATATCACTTTTCCATTAAGTGTGATTATATATATATATTTTTTATCACACTTTTCAATTAAGTGTGATTATATATATACATTTTTAACCCACACTTTTTAATTAACACGTGATATATTTATTTTTTATATCACTTTTCCATTAAGTGTGATTATATATATATATTTTTTATCACACTTTTCAATTAAGTGTGATTATAGATATACATTTTTTAATCACACTTTTTAATTAACACGTGATATATTTATTTTTTATATCACTTTTCCATTAAGTGTGATTATATATATATATTTTTTATCACACTTTTCAATTAAGTGTGATTATATATATACATTTTTAACCACACTTTTAAATTAACATGTGATATATTTATTTTTTATGTCACTTTTTAATTAAGTGTCATTATATATATTTTTTTAATCACACTTTCTAATTAAGTGTGATTATATATAAAAAAATATATAAATGTGATTATATATATATATATATATTTTAATATATTTTTTTATTCAAAAATATATCCCAAAATTGTTGCCTTTTCCTCTTCCACTACTCCAGCAGACACGCCTTCTTCCAAAAAAGATCTAGAAGTTCCAAACATATACCAGACTCTTCCTTTTCCAATTCTGGTTTGCCTCTGTTCTTGATTCATTTTCCCTAATTCTATTTGCAGCTCCAAAATCCCCATTGTTGCTCACTCAAGTCTTCGTCTCTGTTGAATCTTGAACCTTTTGGTCAGTTCTGTTCTCTTTTCTTTTTTTTATGCTCCTTTCGTATGTCATTCATAAGATATATTTGTATATGATTATGATTATTATTACTGGAATTATATAAATATAGTGTTTCATTTGGAATGAGGGTTTTGGGTGGGAATGTTGATATTGTATTTGGGTTTTGTAAATCAGAGTTGGAATTTTTATTTTTTATTTTTTATACTATATGTTGATTCAGAATTTTGTATGTTGATACTGTATTTGTATCTGTATGTGTGGAAGATGTGGTCCAGGGTTGATGAAATGGTGGGGATTGTAGTGGGTTCATTTGAAGCTGGTTCTTTGTTTTTCGAAGTTGGTTCTCTGTTTTTCATCATTTGAAGCTGGTTCATTTGTTTCTGAACAAGCCCATTAGAACCTCTGCTAGTGACAATCATTTCTCAAAGGTTGGAAGTTTTTAAGTCAAACAAAATTTTGCATTTCATTGCAGTTGTGAATTTGTAATCAACATTGCATCTACCTTTTTCTAAGAAAAATTGATTTAAAGTATAGCGAAGTGGCTGGTGGGTTACTATTGTTGATTCTGATTGCAAAACTTGGAGGCTTGATTATTGAATTTAATTTCACAAAGCTACTATATAGGTATTGGGACATGGAAGAGCATCTCACCTTCAATTAATTTTCATTCAACCAGTGCTGCAGCTTAAGTAGTCTTCTGGTGCTTTTTTATTTATTTTTTATTTTTTTGTATCTTTTACATCATGTCTATCTTGATAACAACACATTACAATGCTCTCTCTCTCTCTCTCTCTCTCTCTCTCTCTGTGTGTGTGTGTGTGTGTGACACCGATAGCTCCAATAAACAAGTTATTGGTGTTAGTTGTAGTTTCCAATTTGTGGGTGGACTTAATCTTCTAAGTACGGTGTTTGGATATTGGATTTGAGTAGGGATTTATGGATGGAAAGGAAATGAGAAGGGAAAAGTGATAAATTTAGACGTGATCTTTTGAAATTTAAAAAAGAAAAGGGAGACCAAGAAAGATTACACATTATGTTCACTAATCAAATTACATTGATGAATTCTTAACGTAGAATTGTGTCAAAGAATGAGAACTGTTGAGGAGCATAATTTATGTGTATTTTTCTCGATAACCATGTAATGGGCTTGTGGTAAATTAAGGAATTCCCATTTCTAGAGTTTCAGATATTAGTTACCAAGTCTACCACAATGACCCAGCATAAAGACTATATGATATTTCATTTTTGTTCTCAAAATGTCACTTGATTTTGTCACGTTGATTTGATTTTGATTAGACAAATGGGACTGCTTAGCTGATTTATGAGCTGCAACGGGGCTCACTTTAAAAACTATGTAAGATGCAAACTGCAATTATAAAGGCATTGTGGTCATCTCAGTCTTTGTGCTTTTTATTTTTGTCGTATTTTTTTCCACTCTTAATAAAAGTTAGGTTTTTATAAATATAAATATTTTTTTATCATGTTATTGTTTGTTGAAACATATTGATATTCATGCTCAAACTATGGTTTTTATGTGTTTTCTTGTTCTCCAGGTTGAGGATGCTACCAAAGCTCTTGGACCAACAAACGGGGCAACTCTAGAAAAGAACGGACAGATTCTGCGAGTACCATATGCAAAAAGCATTCTTGGACCGAGATCAGGGCCATTAGGATCTTCTCAGTCAAGCAGTCTTGCGGCTGCCGCAATTGAGGCAGCAGCATTTGCTCAACAGGTAGGCATGTATTGTTTCATTTTTATTATAAATGTATAATGGTCTATTCTATACTAAATATGTTAGTGTGGCAATTTTGGATGTTCACTTCTTCGTTATATGTATATACACTGCCATCATGTTGCAACATGCTCTTTTCTGCTCTCTAGTGCTAGTTAACTTGATCTTATGATGTGTAGCAGCAAGGGCGGAGGGAGGGAGGGGGGTTTGTGGCCCCTCCAAGGTTCTGAAAATTTTCGTTTGTACATATGTATGCTATTTCTAATTTTTATTTTATTTTTCATATTACATGATAGCCCACCAAATTCAATGTAGCACTCCCAAAAAATTTGTGAAGTCTACATTGTATTAGAGTTGGCTTTCAAAATTTAGTAACTCATATAGTGGCCTCAAACATTTACAATAATATTATGATAGGCATATTTTCTTACAATGTTTTGTTTACCATCTTGTGTATCAATTCTACGTTAGTATTAAGCATGAATGGCTAAGGTGATAAACAAATTGTGGTAAAAAAAAAATATGATCATCCTAACATTAAGATCCCCTCAACTATTAGCAAATATCACCTTATCGCTTATCTATAAATTCATACATTTTGATCCCTTCAACTATAAAAACTATACAAATAATGTTTAATTGAGATTAATCTCTTATAATTTTATTGGTTCAATTGGCCTCTATTAAGTAATATTCAATAATGATTTAATCAAATAAAATTCATGCCGATCCATTAACAGCTCGGCGAGATCTGCCGTATGACTTCCTATGGAGAAATCCTGGCTCTGCCCCTACGTAGCATCATATATGTTGCAGGATACACTTTGTGCTTGTTCTTGGATTTTTCATAGTTTATTCATCCCATTCTTTATCCCTGCTATCTAGAAAACCACTGTGGTCCTTTTGCTAACCTGAAGCTGTTTTTAGTGTTATGTAATTTAAGGAGAGGATTCATTGCAATGGTAACTCAGGAAGCAAACACTTTGAATGCTCGTGATTGCTTCCAAAGACACTCACACGTGTATGCACACATGCACACATTCTACCTGGATGATCTCTTCTTATTTTCTTGTATTGGTTAGATGCAATTAGTCTATATTGTTGACGAACCTGATTGAATAAATACATTCCCTCCTTTCAATCCTTGTAGTATGATGCTGTTGGATGGGCACCAAAGGAGTATAATCCAGACAATAAGCAGCCCTCTGGTGGGCAGGAGCCAAGTGGTGGAGAGGTTGCAGGTCCAAAGGATGCTTATTCATTACAATCTGGCTTTGTTTGGGATGAAGCATTTGGCTATTATTATGATGCTTCTTCTGGATTCTATTATGATGGAAATATAGGTATTTATTTATTTGGAAGCTACATTTTAGTTGTTGTTTTCCTCATTGTTACTATAAAAGCTGTCTTGATTTTATGTTTATGCATAATATAGGCAAATGTTGCAAGTGTTGTATCATGTGAGCCATAGCCCCCGTGATATCAATGTTGTGTTCTATAAGTGAAAGTTCTGATATGTGTTTCTCATGCAATTGGACTGGTGCACTAGTGTGGCATCCTAAATCTTTAACAATCTTATTCAGTGTGCATCAAATAATTAATTTCATTAATCATTGGTCTTGTGGTGGCGTTCAATTTTTAAAGGGCCTCTGGTTTGGATTTCTGCTGTCAACTGACCATTACATTGTGACAGCATTTCTATTTTGGAGTTTATGGTTGGCTTGGATTGCTCTGCATTTATTGATGGTTTTCAATATGGATTATTTTAAGAAAATATAATTTTAGTAATTGTTACAAGGTTTTTTATATTTGAAATTTTGAGCAGAGCCCCGATATTTCTACACTATTCAGAGAGATGAGAGGAGAGACATCACTCAATAGAATTGTACAACTTTGAGAGCAGTATTTGTTGGGTGCTGCTAACAAACCTATCCAATATACTGATGGGGGATCTTTCTTCCAAATTTTGAGGTTTACAGAGGGTTAATTTGTGGAGATATACAAAAGTTTTCATGAGGAATATTTCTTGAAAATAATTAATATTTTTGTTTTATAAAAAATATTTACTCCTACCAATTTCTTCTTGTGTATTTATTGTCGGTTCATTCACAGATGTCATTTCTCATGAACATATGGAGTCATGGCCACAAGAAGCCTTAAACCCCCCAACTCCATGATATTGTCATAAACAGAGTGAAATGATGATATTTTATATTGACATTCGCAACTTCTCAGATAGAAAATGTCATTATTGTTTTGATTTCAACATCTTCTTGTTGTTTTATAATTGTGAGAAAACTTGTGAAATATTCGTATATCTTCATATTCTGTTTTATACTCTGAAAATTCAAAACAATACTAATCAATGAAGGCATGGTTTGTTAGTTAAAATTGGGTTAGTGGTAAACAAATATGTAACATAAAGTATTAATATTTTTTTTTATTTTTAATGCCATGATCAGGTGAAGCATATCTATGATAATATGTATTCTATTTTTATGCAAGCATGCTTTATTTTGCTGCTAATGAACTGGACGGGTACTAGTGCTAGTGGAGTAGACCAAATAGAATTTGGTCTAGTTTCTGATGAAGATCAATGTTTTATTTATTTATTTATTCTTGTGTTTTGCAGGATTATATTATTATTATTATTATTATTATTATTATTATTATTATTATTATTATTATTATTATTATTATTATTATTATTATTATTATTATTATTATTATTATTATTATTATTATTATTATTATTATTATTATTATTATTATTATTATTATTATTATTATTATTATTATTATTATTATTATTATTATTATTATTATTATTATTATTATTATTATTATTATTATTATTATTATTATTATTATTATTATTATTATTATTATTATTATTATTATTATTATTATTATTATTATTATTATTATTATTATTATTATTATTATTATTATTATTATTATTATTATTATTATTATTATTATTATTATTATTATTATTATTATTATTATTATTATTATTATTATTATTATTATTATTATTATTATTATTATTATTATTATTATTATTATTATTATTATTATTATTATTATTATTATTATTATTATTATTATTATTATTATTATTATTATTATTATTATTATTATTATTATTATTATTATTATTATTATTATTATTATTATTATTATTATTATTATTATTATTATTATTATTATTATTATTATTATTATTATTATTATTATTATTATTATTATTATTATTATTATTATTATTATTATTATTATTATTATTATTATTATTATTATTATTATTATTATTATTATTATTATTATTATTATTATTATTATTATTATTATTATTATTATTATTATTATTATTATTATTATTATTATTATTATTATTATTATTATTATTATTATTATTATTATTATTATTATTATTATTATTATTATTATTATTATTATTATTATTATTATTATTATTATTATTATTATTATTATTATTATTATTATTATTATTATTATTATTATTATTATTATTATTATTATTATTATTATTATTATTATTATTATTATTATTATTATTATTATTATTATTATTATTATTATTATTATTATTATTATTATTATTATTATTATTATTATTATTATTATTATTATTATTATTATTATTATTATTATTATTATTATTATTATTATTATTATTATTATTATTATTATTATTATTATTATTATTATTATTATTATTATTATTATTATTATTATTATTATTATTATTATTATTATTATTATTATTATTATTATTATTATTATTATTATTATTATTATTATTATTATTATTATTATTATTATTATTATTATTATTATTATTATTATTATTATTATTATTATTATTATTATTATTATTATTATTATTATTATTATTATTATTATTATTATTATTATTATTATTATTATTATTATTATTATTATTATTATTATTATTATTATTATTATTATTATTATTATTATTATTATTATTATTATTATTATTATTATTATTATTATTATTATTATTATTATTATTATTATTATTATTATTATTATTATTATTATTATTATTATTATTATTATTATTATTATTATTATTATTATTATTATTATTATTATTATTATTATTATTATTATTATTATTATTATTATTATTATTATTATTATTATTATTATTATTATTATTATTATTATTATTATTATTATTATTATTATTATTATTATTATTATTATTATTATTATTATTATTATTATTATTATTATTATTATTATTATTATTATTATTATGTTAGGTTTTATTTATTGGCAATCCCGTTTGACAAAACTTCTTTCAGTTGTATTTATTTTCGCACTTTTATTTCAGTGAGGCTATGAGTTTATTAGATGCGAATCCAACCCGAATTGTACCATGCAGAGAAGTTTGTGATGTTAATGCTTTCAAGATTGCCACTTCGCTGATTATTACGGGGGTCGAGCTGCCCGGTCAGCTCGCGGGCGAAGCAAATTGCAAAATTGCATTCAAAATTACATGTCCGCCCATGTTCGCTCGAGCCCAGGAATTCTCGCTCGAGCTAAGGCTTTCTCGCTCGAGCCAAGGAGTTCTCGCTTGAGCCAAGGATTGCGTCCATACAAAAACCTGAAAGAGTGTATTCCTCGCTCGAGCCAAGGATCCGTCGCTCGAGCCAAGGCACTAGTAGAAATCATGAAAAATACACTCCTCGCTCGAGCCAGCAAAGCTTCGCTCGAGCGAGCCTCGGAATCCGGATTTCTCAAAGAGTTTGTTTTCTTCCCAATCTAGGATTACTTTTGGTTCTCTATAAATACTTGTTTTTTTCCCAAAACTAAGGTATTGATTGAAGTCCTCCAGATCTTCTTTTTGGTTCTTAAGGTTTATATCTGGGGATATTTTGTTTGTTTTCTTTGATGTTTTTATTGAGTCTTCAACTCATGATTTAAAGAAAGTACATCAAAGGTTTGTTAGTTATACACAAAAGAGAGAGTTATTCTTCAGTTGTGGATTCTGAAGAATTCGAGCCTGAAGCTTTGGTGGAATCCGGAGTGGCTCATCAGAAAGACAATTCCGTGGTGAAGATGGGGTTGGAAGAGGCACATAGAGGTTGGTTCAATTAGGTGTTGTGGATTCGCTAGGTAATTGAGAGTATACCTGTGTAATTCCTTTAAATCTTCTTAGTGGATTGTTTTGTGGCTGTTGCCCGTGGTTTTTTTTATCACAGTTGGAGGTGTCCAATTGTGGTTTTTCCACGTAAAATCCTTGTGTCTCTTTGTCTTGATTGTTTGATTGGGATTGTTATATTCTGCTTAAAATTGATACATAATCACAAATCAACATCTAGGGGATTTCTAGATTTTTCAAATTTGCTATGAAATTCCATGTGTTCTTTTTTCCTTCTCCTCTAAGCATGTAAGTGAAACATAATAAAAACCAAATAAGTGGAAAAATGAGAAAGGGAAACTATTAAACATGGATTGGAAGGTTCACATAATAGGAGATTAATTTATGATTCCTTAAAATGCATCTTTCACATCATAGAATAAAGAACTAAGATTTCAGTTTCTATGATTGTATTTTCTGTTTGTTCTTGAGTTTGGTCTGAAGTTTCATGATAATGGTAAGCAACTAGCTGAGTAACTAATACAGGGTATTAAGACAGAACTTTAGATTTGATATAGTTGTGGAAGAAAGAAAGGGATATGAGTTTCGTATCAGTAATTGTTCCATATCTTGTGAAATGTAAATGGATTTTTTCACAATCTATCTTGCCCATGCTTATATGCCCCCTAATTGTGAATGGTGTAAATTACTCGTTTTTCTTTTTTCACCCAGAAAAATCATCTTATAATGAAATCTCAACAAGTCCTCTAATCTATATTTCAAAGAATTGAATGAAACTAGTGAATAATTTGAAACATCTTTTAAGTTGAAATGATATATAGGAAAAGGATAGATATGAACAATGCAATTCTTTATTATCAAGAATTAAATTTGTTTTACTAGTGATACATTTCATTGTTATATTGGTTCATTCTTCCTTACAGGAACAATCAAAAGCTAATATATTTGTCTTACTAATGATACATTTCATTATTATATTGGTCATTCTTTCTTATAGGAGCAATCAAAGGGTAACATCGCGAACAGAGAAAGGATGTATACAAAACACAGGTGTGGTTCTAGGTCAATCCCTGTTAGAGTAGAAAAACTGGTACGTATCCTTGCACTTTAAGAATTAAATGGACCAATATAAGTTATATGAACTTACAGCACACTAATGGGATGCATGAATTAGCCTTAAAATTAATTTTTTGTTCTCATAATCTCGAAAAAAAAGTTTGTTAGAGGGGTAAATTGTATAATTGATCTAATTGTAAATTGATGAGTTACTAATGTTTTTAATCGTTTGTATAATTAATTAATTACTAAAGCTTTTAATTTATTTTTTTGCAGATTGGATTGGGGTGGCATTTTTGACGTGCAACAATGATCTAATTTGCTTGAATGTTCATTTTTGTTTGATAAGGATACACATACTTTGTGGAGTTGCACTAGTTATTGTTGGATTTTTGGTAAAATTGAACAAGTTATAACTTTTGGATATTTTGTGGATATTTCACTATTTTATTGTATTAGGATGAAATTATTTGTGATGATGAATGGATATTTTCATTTTTTTAATTCGTAAATGTGTTGATAACAGGTTAGGTTAAGTTGTGATGGAATTGTTATATTCAACAGGTTTCAACATGAACAGGGTTATATTTGTTGAATTAAAATTTAGATTTCGATAAAATAGGTATATAATATGGAAAAAAATATTATGAAATTATTGACAAAATTTTCCATCCCTAAAGAAAGTTCTTTTGTCTCTTATTTTGCTTAGGTGGATGATTAATTTTATCATGAATTTTTTATTTCGTCACTAAATGCATTTGTCGTGACAGAAAATATTGTCACATTTTGTCACTATTATCCTCAATGTGTGACGAATTTTTTTTGACATTATTTTATCATTTTTAATAATGAATTTGGTTTTGTCTCTATTAGTAGCTTCTTTGACAAAAGAATTTCGTCTTCGTTTATATTAAACGTGACAAAATTATTTTGTCTCCATTTCTTATATTTATGACAAAATAATTGTGTCTCTAATTTCTCCTTTAATGACAAAATATTTTGTCGCTAATTACTTACAAGTATGTTCCCAACAGAGTGTATTTGAGGCAAAAAAATTCGTCACAAATTTATCATTTTTACTGATGAATTTGTTTTTGTCTCTATTGGTAGCTTCTTTGACAAATTTTTTTTGTCTTCGTTTATATTAAACGTGACAAAATTATTTCGTCTCTATTTCTTATATTTATGAGAATATTTTTGTCTCTAATTTCTTCCTTTAATGACAAAATATTTTGTCGCTAATTACTTACAAGTATGTTTCCAACAGAGTGTATTAGAGACAAAAAAATTGGTCACAAATTTATCATTTTTAATGATGAATTTGTTTTTATCACTATTGGTAGCTTCTTTAACAAAAAAATTTCGTCTTCGTTTATATTAAGCGTGACAAAATTATTTCGTCTCTATTTCTTATATTTATGACGAAATACTTTTGTCTCTAATTTCTTCCTTTAATGATAAAATATTTTGTCGCTAATTACTTACAAGTATGTTCCCAACAGAGCGTATTGGAGACAAAAAAATTCGTCACAAATTTATCATTTTCAATGACGAAATTGTTTTTTCGTCTCTACGACCCTTTACCGATGAGGCTTTGGCGACAAAACGGGTGACGAAAAATTTTCGTCGTAATTAGTTTGGGTGACGAAATATATATATTTTGGGACAAATTTGTTTCGTCTTTAAATCCCAAATTTGTTGTAATGGTGATTTGTTTTTAGGCACATCCATCCTCAATCTAATGAAAGATTTGAGAAATCCTAGATTTGTTGAAAGATTTGGTGAACTATTGGAGCGGCAGAAAGTAAGTTTTTTCATAATGGGTATGTGGGAAGTGATTAGTATCATAATGGGTTCGTCTCGTTTGTTAGAGACTTAGATGTAGTGTTATGTACTTATGTGATAACATGCTTATGTGACTATGTGGGTATGGAATGTAGTTTCTAGGATGTTGACTGGATCCTTTGGTTTCTGGGAGTCTTTTTGAAAAAGAACTTGATCAATGCTGTTTCTAACCGGAACTCTAGCAACGCCTCAGGACTGTCATTATCTAGAAATGAAATTCGTAAGTGCTTATGTGATTATGTGCTTACGTGGAATAAACTACAGTTGTCCAATGCTTTAGGGCGCGAGTGACTAGCTTCGGCACATTTGTGAATGTGCTAATGACCTTTATTAGGATGTCAGAACGAGGAAGAAGATGTGGAGGTAGGCGTGGTAGGCGTGGTTGGCAGGAGATGCCTTTACCGGATGATATTCCGGCACAACAGGAGGGGGTTGGTCAGGCCAATGTGGCCGAGCCAGCAGGTCAGCAGGCTATGGGTGCCTTAGCCCGTGGGATAGCCGATGCTTTAAGGGAGTCTATGGGCATTCTCAGAGCTGAGAATCCAGTTTAGGCCCAAGTCCAGGCCGAGGTTGTTGATGCAGGGCCTTTCTTTCTGAAAAAGGGAGTTCTTTCGGTCTAATCCGGACGAGTTTATTGGGGATCCGAAAGAGCCACTTAAGGCTGACGAGTGGTCGGAACAGATGAGTAAGACGTTTGAGATGCTTGGCATCGAGGACGGAGCATTGAAAGTGACCTTGGCATCTTTCCAGCTTAAGGGGGATGTGGGTCAGTGGTGGAAGTTCATAAGGGGTCGTATTGGTGGCACTTGGGAGGCTTTTTTGGATGCTTTCCAGGAGAAGTTTTTATCTCCAGCTGTCAGGAAGAAGCTGAGAGACCAGTTCTGCCAGCTTTTGCAGCTGAGTTCTTCAGTGGCCGAGTTTGAGGCTGCATTTACTAGTCTGTCCAGGTTTGCACCTGAGCTCGTGGGGTCTGAAGAACGCCGTTGTATCGAGTTTGAGAAGAAGTTAAGGCGCGGCCTCAAGATGAGAGTTGGGGGTTCTATGACCTGAGACTATGGGTGCTTTGCCGATGCTGCAGCCTATACGGAGATCATGATGCAGGAGGAGGAGGGGCAGAGAGGCTCCAAGAGGAGTCAGGATGGTCAGGGTGATGGCAGGAGACAGAGGGGTTCTAACCCTCAGCAGTCTCAAGGTGGTATTGCTAGATCGACCTTTCCAGTGCCGAGTGCGGGCTCGGGGAGAGGCAATCAGGGAGATATCACCTGTTACAAGTGTGGTCAACTAGGCTACAAGTCTTCAGTTTGCCCGCAGAGGGGAGGAGGTCAGCGATCTACTTCTTCTTTGGCTCGACCTCAAGGCCAGAGTCAGGGCAGAGGCCAGCCTTTGTCTTGTTATCAGTGTGGTCAGCCGGGGCACCTGAAGAGGTTTTGCCCGCAGTTGAGTGCCACATCGAGAGCGTCTGGTTCTAGACAGACAAAGAGTTTTCAGCCAGCACAGTCAGTTCAGGCCTCGAGGGCCAATTCGGGAGCTTTGTCGTCCCAGTCTGTGCAGCATTCGTTTGCTCCGAGGGGTGAGCAGGTAGAGCAGAGACCTTCAGGGTGCGTGTATGTTGTTACCGCGCAGGACCTTGTACCTGCTCCATCAGTTGTGAGAGGTACCTTCTTGTTTTGCAACTCGGTTGCTAATGTGTTGATTGATACTGGTGCATCTCATTCTTTCATATCTGCTGTATTTGCATCTGTTTTGGGATTGGAGTTGGCACAGTTAGCATCTCCTATATGTGTTGTATCACCTATTGGGGGTGAATTGATTTTGAAACAAGGATGTAGAGGCTGCGATATAGAGGTCGCTGGCCGCCGGCTTGCGTTTCCTTTTGTAGTTATGCCTATGTCGGGTTTTGATGTTATTTTGGATATGGACTGGCTATCGTCATACCGGGCAGTTATTGATTGTTACCGCCAGAGGGTCACAGTATGTACCCCGAGCAGGGAATGTTTCCATTTCTTGGGGGATCGAGTTGGCAGTGTTTTGCCACCGGTGTATGATCCGCGAGGGCGGAGTGAGCTTAGTGGTCTTCTTGCAAGCCTTTTGAGTAGTGAGTGTGATAAGACCCAAATTATATTGTCGAGGGTGGTGTGTGAGTATTCAGATGTCTTTCCCGAGGATCTTGTCAGTTTGCCACCTCACCGAGAGATTGAGTTCTCCATTGATCTAGTGCCTGGCACGGTGCCGATTTCTGTGGCACCTTATCGTTTTGCCCCAGCCGAGTTAGTTGAGTTGAAGATTCAGCTCCAGGAATTGCTGGATAAGGGCTTTATTCGCCCCAGTGTTTCGCCGTGGGGAGCACCGGCACTCTTTGCTAAAAAGAAAGATGGGGCCTTGAGACTTTATATTGATTACCGAAAATTGAACCGAGTTATGGTTAAGAACAAGTACCATATGCCTCGTATAGATGATCTGTTTGATCAGTTGAAAGGATCTCGTTGTTTCTCTAAGATAGATTTGACGCTCGAACGAAGGAAGGCTCGCTCGAGCCAAGAACACAGCTTCTCCGTCAAAATGAGACGCACCGGCCGCTCGAGCGGCAAGAGACTTCTCGCTCTGGAGCACCAGAAACAGAAGTCAACTCTTCGCTCGAGCAAAGGAAACCCTGGCTCGAGCGAAGGATCTAAACATAGAGCTCCACTCGTAGCGAGAACTGCTCGCTCAAGCGAAGACCAAAATTCTGGGCAGCAACCATTTGCTCCACACAAACCTAACTGTAACAAACGCTACCTATCACATCCTATAACATATCAAATACAAGTATTGAAGGACGGAAACAAGCATAAACAACTGTTAACATCTACGGAACCAATCCGGATCACTGTACAATCAAGGGGTGAAACCTCAGGATCGTTATAACCTCCCCCCTTAAAGAATTTCGTTTCCCGAAATTAAGCACTAAGTTTTTAAAAAAAAAAAACAGCGTTTTTCTTTAATTTCCCAATATGACATTCAATAATCAACAACTGACCCATTACCGTCATTCCATCCTCTATCAAGAGGCATTTCACAATATGTAAAAACAGCATATATTTCAACCTGCTTTATCATTATGCATTTCTTCAATTCCAAATTTTCAAATATATTATGATTCACAATTCCATAATCATATTCATGTTCATGATACATTTACCATTTCTAAAATATTATTCACATATGCAATGTTCCATTAAAATTCCATTCGACGCAAGTTTCAAAAATTCTTCCATTAAACCAAAACATTTTCAATGGTTACAACTTAAGACAATATATATGCTCTTAAGTTGATAATATTAACAAATCTCAATATATGATTTACACATCAAACAAACATGTCCGGATATTTCTCGCGGACTTCCACTCACGTTCCCAAGTGGCTTCCTCCACTCCGTTGATTGGCTTCCACAAAACTTTTACAAGGGAATGGGTCTTGCCTCGCAAGACTTGTCCCGCCTATCCAAGACCGCGAATCGGCCTCTCCTCATACGAGGCATCTCATCTACCTCTAAGTCGTCCAATCC